TACAAAAGTTCAGTGGCTAATTTTATGGGAACCCCTAAGAGTTAAGATCTGTAATAATAATTAATAATTTTTGTCATGAACAGGTAACCCTGTGCATATACAGTATGTAGTTTAGGTTTGTATCATGGTACCTCTCAAGGCTGAACTAGTGCCCTTTTTCCTAGGATGCAACGCCACAACAGTTGCCTAATTTCCGAGTACCTATTTACTCTTAGATGGAAGGAAAACGTGCCTATTTCTGTTCTGCCCGTGACTCAAATCCTGGATTCCCGATTGCGAGTTTAGAATGAACCAAAGTAGTTTACATATTGTTGGCAACTTATTTTGCCACTCCCTTATAGCTGAACATTGGACACTTCCATGTTTGGAAGGTCATTCCTTCGAAACAACTGACAAAGTCTGTTGTTAATATACAAGGCAGCATGATGTATTTAAAATATACTGCTTCCATTTTCAAATGATTTGAAGATACAATACTGTGGTTGGTATTGGTTCTCATACTGGCAACAGCCTATCTGTGGTGTTGATATCCATACACATCGTTTACGATCCATGATGCATATTTTTTTATGTGTACCAATGTCATTCTACAGTTTAAGAACCAAACATTCCCCTTAAATTTAGAGATAAAAGATAATGATTTTTGCAAAGAGCATACATAGAATTATGGAAAACTGAATGTTCTAATACATGCTATGATAAATCTGTATTATATACCTTTCATATTTGAATATGTATTTGTATTATGTACATATATTCAAAAAGTTTCTGAAATGTTTTGGTTTCATTCTATACATCCTTGTAAACCTCATTTATCTTATGTTTTCTTTTACACTAGTGACTAGAAAGATGTTGGCAACTTTACCGTAAGCAATTTATAAACAGAGTACCCGGTAATTAAAAGAGGTTCCGACAGCATGCATTTCCTTCCAGATCATGGTATAAAACAAATTCTACCTTTAAATGAATACAAACTACATCACACACAAGATTACAAAAGATTCTAGGGTAGGTTTACAAAAAGAATTTTAAAACCTACCTAGCTTTACCCGACACAAGCTAACACACCCTAATAACTCGCCAACACACACCTGTATCACGTGTTGAAAGAAAAGTTTAGGCAAAATGATAGGGTTGGGGCATTTAACCATGCCCCATCTAAATAGAATATCATAGAACAAAATATTTGTTTCTAAAATGACTGGCTGGTTAATGTACAATCAACTTAAAGTACAAGCAACCATATAAGTGCCGGACCAACCAGGCTGCAGTGGATATGTGGGCCTGCGGGCCGCTCCAAGCAGCAGCCTCTTGGACAAAGTTATCACAAGTCAAGCCTGGCCTCGGAGAGTAGAAGAACTCCCAGAACCCTCTCCTCCTATATATATATATATATAACCATGTATATATATAAATATATAACCATGTATATATAATATATAACCATGTATATATATAAATATATATATATTATATATATATATATATATATATATATATATATATATATATATATTTATATATATATATATATATATATATATATATATATTATATATATATATATATATATAATATATATATATATATTTTATATATACATGGTTATATATATATATATATATATATATATATATATATATATATATATATATATATATATATATATATATATATATATATATATATATATATATATAATATATATATAAATATATATATAATATATATATAAATATATATATAAATATATATATATTATTATATATATATATATATATATATATAAATATATATATATTTATATATAATATGGTTATATATTATATATACATGGTTATATATTATATATATACATGGTTTATATATATATATATATACATGGTATATATATATATATATATATATATATATATATATATATATATATATATATATGTCGTACCTAGTAGCCAGAATGCACTTCTCAGCCTACTATGCAAGGCCCGATTTGCTTAATAAGCCAAGTTTTCATGAATTAATATATTTTCTCAATTTTTTTTCTTATGAAATGATAAAGCTACCCATTTCATTATGTATGAGGTCAATTTTATTTTATTGGAGTTAAATTAACGTAGATATATGACCGAACCTAACCAACCCTACCTAACCTAACCTAACCTATCTTTGTAGGTTAGGTTACGTTAGGTGGCCGAAAAAAGGTTAGGTTAGGTTAGGTAGGTAGTTAGTCGAAAAACAATTAATTCATGAAAACTTGGCTTATTAGGCAAATCGGGCCTTGCATAGTAGGCTGAGAAGTGCGTTCTGGCTACTAGGTACGACATTATATATATATATATATATATATATATATATATATATATATATATATATATATATATATATATATATATATATATATATATATATATATATATATATATATATATATATATATATATATATATATATATATATATATATATATATATATATATATATATATATATATATATATATATATATATATATATATATATATATATATATATATATATATATATATATATATATATATATATATATATATATATATATATATATATATTATAATATATATATATATATTATATATATATATATATATTATATATATATATATATATATATATATATATATATATATATATATATATATATGAGAGACAGTGTCAGACCACGGAGGAAAATTGAAACAGGAATTTCCTTAAGTACTTTCGTATATTAATACATCTTCAGGAGTGGTTTTACAGGTCAAGTGTCACATAAAATACCTTGTAAAGACTGTAATAGGTTCTATGTTGGGCAAACATCTAAAGATTTGAAATGTAGAATTTCGCAACATAAATACTCTGTAAGACATCACCAATTGTCTAATACTGTGTTTGTTCATCTGTCAGAAGATGCTCACCAAATTGATTGGGAGATGGCTTCTTCAATAACGAATTGTAAAAGCACCTATAACAAACATAATTGAATCTGCTTTGATACAGATTACAAAAGAAAGTAATTTGAATATTAGCAGTGGTTTATATAACTTAGATCCATTTTTAATAGATCAATTAAAGGGCGATTTGTGTAGAATCATTGGAACACATTTGTCTCACTAATTCATTGTAAATATTTACTATCGTATGCTATTATTATCCATGTGTGGGCCTGTTGGTGAGTATGAAAGAGGCTGCATCGTATGGGCCAATAGGGCTTCAGCATTTCTTGTGCGGCTCATATTTGTGTCCACCTAATTCCATTCATTTGTTATTGTACCTCACCTCACTCCACCATTCTCTCCTGCCTATATATGTCCAATACTCGACCTGTAAAACCACTCCTTCTGAAGATGTATTAATATACGAAAGTACTTAAAGCAATTCCTGTTTCAATTTTTCTCCGTGGTCTGACACTGTCACATTTTTAATCACGTGTTTATTTTCGTGATTTACACACACACACACACATATATATATATATATCTTTGAGGCCTGTATGTATTTTACACAAAACTAGGCTTCGATAATGCCCTAATCCTAGTTTGGTCTCAAAAAAAAAAAGAACCTAAGGAGAGTGGATATGATGGATAGAAGTATATGGTTTGTATATTAAGGTAAACTATACTACAGTATTCAGGCAACTGTCATTGGGGTACTACTCTCCTAGGCTACAGTTCACCACATAACAATCACTACCTTGCTTGTACCAACTGCATTTTCTTTACAATACATCTTGTATCCATATAATACAGTGCACTATGGGTCTGTATCCAACATTTAGCAATATTTTGGTTACAATACAGTTCATTCATTATCCAAATTACTCTTAATATCCCGTGATGCTGAAAAGTTTTAACTATTTTCTAATATGACGAGTTTTCCAGACAACATTGCCATCTTCACGTACAGTTACGATCTGCTTCTATACTTTTGATTCTATATAGTATTATAATTGTTAAGTCTGAGCTCTTGAGCCAGCGTCGATGTGATAGTCATTTAACACATTTTATAAGCCTAAGGAAAGGCCTACACAAGTTTTAAATTATACGTATTGATTCTCTCAAGTTGTCAGTGACCTGACCCGAGGCGAGTTTTCTCTTGACCTCTTGACCTGACCCCCTTAAAAACAACACACACCAAAATACAGCAGCAGCAGCTCTGATATGGGGGTCACCGCCCCCCTCGCCAGCCCGCCCTTTCCTCACCTGCTCGAAGCACGAGGCAATATTGGCCGTAACGAGCAGCATCCGAGTACTAGGGGTGCCAGCCATGGTGAGGAGAGGCACTGTCACAACCTGCGAGTGCCACACACAGACTAGCCAAGGGGAGGGCCAACTAGAGGAGGGGGGGGTGGTGGCGGTGCCAGTCTCTCGCCTCACTTCGCGGGCTTCCTCTTTATTAGATTACGGCGCCATCCCGTCGAGAAGAGCACCTCCACCACCTGCCGGCACTGGTGCATGGGTGAGCCAACTGGAGGAGCAATAAACCACGCCTACAGCCGCCGCCGCCGCCGCCGCCCGTCGATACTCCACACTGACCTCGTCCCGCACCACAGAAAACGGGCCGCCAGGGGCCGAGGGGGGCTACGCCGCCATAATATTATGCCTCACACTCATTACAACTTCTCTTATTATTGCCTTTCCACTCCCATCTGCATCGTGAGCCAAGGCTTTTCTTGTATGAGTTATTCCCAGTGATCTGGTAAGTTGTGACGCAATGTTGTTTTTTAATAAAATGTAGGCTTGTGTTCTACTTATTTTTTGTGTTCCCTGAGCGATAGTATGCAATGGTATTTTATTTGATTTTATTTCAAACATATACAGGAAAGTAATAATACGTCAGACGTATGTGAGGATGGATTTGCCGTGTCCATGAAGATTTTGTAACACATGTCTCTTGGATTCGAGTGTTAATGTGTGTTTAAAATGGGTGAAAGAAGAGTTTGGTTAGAGAGGGAGGTGTGGCAAGAAGCGCCGCGCCCCCACCCACACACTCCCCGCCTCCGAATCTCCCACTTGTCTCACTCCGAGATGGCCAGATTTAGGATGCGACGGAGCAAGGTTTCAATAGTCCTAGGATGCTTCCTGGTGCTCTTCTTACTCCTGAAGAAGGGGACGCAGCTGCTGCACTTCGAGCACTTCATCCCCAGCCAAGAGCCCAAGGACGTGTGGGACGTGGTGGCCGATTTCAGTAACATGCCACAGTTGAACACGAGAATGTGAGTACTGTATAGCCCCAAACGTCTCCCTCTATATACATTCTTAACTCTCAAAGGTGTGCTCTCCTGTCCTCAGAACTGTTCTTCGATTGGGTTAAGAACGTAGCGGTTTATTTCAAAGGTGGTAAGTTTGTTAATGATCTTAGGTAAGAAAATACACGACTTTGATCAGGCGTCGCAAGAGGACACCAATAAGCCCAAACTGGAGTCAGGCTCCGAATGCAGCATCCTTCAATATATCAAACATTGCATAATATTCGAAGACTTGCCCAAGCAGAAATATAAGTGAAAGTCTATTAATGTGATGTCAGGTAAATGTATATATGTATATATATATATATATATATATATATATATATATATATATATATATATATATATATATATATATATATATATATATATTCAGGAAATAGTTAATAAGCTTAATTATCCATACACCAGTACACCTACCCACATGTACACAAGGCAAGCACACACACTCGCCAGTACACATGCACTCTCGCATTTCATTTGCTCTCTCATGATTCTATGTATGACTAACTATCCTGTGAGAAGGAGGATATTAGATGAACTCTTTACTAGTAAATACACACACACACACACACACACACACACACACACACACACACACACACACACACACACACACACACACACACCAATATATGTATGTATGTATTCATTTAGTTGTGTTTGCGGGGGTTGAGCTCTGCTCTTTCGGCCCGCCTCTCAACTGTCAATCAACTTTTATTAACTACTAACGTTTTGTTTGTATGTATGTATGTATGTGTTTACTAGTTGTGTTTTTGCGGGGGTTGAGCTTTGCTCTTTCGGCCCGCCTCTCAACTGTTTACTAACTACTTTTTTTTTTTTCCCACACCACACACACACACACACACACACACACACACACCCCAGGAAGCAGCCCGTGACAGCTGACTAACTCCCAGGTACCTCTTTACTGCTAGGTAACAGGGGCACTTAGGGTGAAAGAAACTTTGCCCATTTGTTTCTGCCTTGTGCGGGAATCGAACCCGCGCCACAGAATTACGAGTCCTGCACGCTATCCACCAGGCTACGAGGCCCCCATGTATGTATGTTTGTATGTATGTATGTATGTATGTATGTATGTATGTATGTATGTATGTATGTATGTATGTATGTATGTATGTATGTATGTATGTATGTATGTATGTATGTATGTATGTATGTATGTATGTATGTATGTATGTATGTATGTGTATGTATATGTATATGCGAACAAGCCTGAACGGTCTCCAGGCACATATGCAACTGAAAACTCACACCCCAGAAGTGACTCGAACTCATACTGCCAGAAGCACTCTGCAACTGATGTACAGGATCCCTTAACCACTCGACCATCACGACCGGACATAAGAGGATGGTTGTGTTCCTCACGTATGCCCAAAAGAATGAGGTGATTTGATAAAATACCATGCCCAAGATTACCAACCGAGTGCCGGCGGGGGGATGGAAATAGCCTCGGCTACCATCCTCTTTTGTCCGGTCGTGTTGGTCGAGCGGTTAAGGGATCCTGTACGCCAGCAGAGTGCTCCTGGCAGTATGGGTTCGAGTCACTTCTGGGGTGTGAGTTTTCAGTTGCATATAGTCCTGGGGATCATTCAGGCTTGTTTATATATATATATATATATATATATATATATATATATATATATAATCTGTGAGACATGGTGGAGGTAGTAGTATGGCTTGTGCATGTATAGTTGCCATTTGAACTGTCTAACTTGACTTTATTGATGATGCAACTGCTGAGTGCATCAACAGAATAACTTCGGAGGTATACAGAAACATATCTGCTCAGACCCAATTAAATTCTTTAAACCTCATTGGGCAGCCCTTCACCTTCCAGCAAGACTCCTGGTTCAACCTAGACGACGAGCGGGTGTCTGCACACCTGCTCTACCTTGGAACCGCCGGAACACCTGGCGCGATTTTGATAGTGGTTCTCGATACTCAGGTGCTTGTGGTTAGGTGATCTTGGTGGGGTCCTGGTGTGCCCTCGGGGCGTGCTGAGCGTCTGGCTCCTGCTTTGCTGAATGTCACTGTAAGACGTAATTGTGTTCATGGCCAATTGGGCTCGACTTTAGACGCTATCGTGATTCTGCCGTTTGGTCCTGGCTTCGTTCGACTACCCAAAGGCAATAGGACGCCTGACGCCTTATCGCCTGGGGGTCACCAGATGTCAATAGTTTTCCCTTCTGGTTTTCTGTATAGATTGGGATCTTGAACGCCCCCTCTCCCCTCCAGAGGTTTTCCCCGCCTGAGGCAGGCCTCAATAAACATCTTCCTAACAGTGTTTATTTACCGCTAAGCATGATTGTTTTCTGCGGACAGGCGACGTAAATATAGCCGCAAGATTTCGTTTCACCCTGCACAGGAACCCCCGGGGCACACGTGGAACTTGTACCGTCGTGACCCCGACAGCTGCTACCTCGCAGCAGGACACTAACAAGATACTGCCGAAGCAACCAAGGAGTTGTTCAAGGCCGAAAAGTGTAATGTTCTTAAATGCTCAAGTTAATCATCTGACCTGAACCCATGTGAGCATGCGTTTTAATTGATGAACACGGAAAATAAAAAGCCCTTGAAACAAACAGCAACTGTAGATGGCTCTTTTGTTATTAACAAACTTAGGTACTGCAGTAGAGGACTGGCAGAGGTTCACCAGGGTTCATCCAGCCTCTGGTGATGTCTATGGGTCGCAGACATAAGGCGCTCATCGCATGCAAAGGATTTCCAACCAAATAGTAAATACGACAGCTTTGTTCAAGAGTATATTAATGTGTTAAGTTACTTTTAATCCTCCATAATGGGAATCTATGAACAAAAAGGGCTGCGGTTCTTAACATGGTCCACCCGATATTGATGTACAAGCCTCATATCTGCACTTTAACCTCATAGCCACTGTATAATTGCAATTGAATATGCTGGAGAACAGAGCCGAAGCAACATTGTGAGTAATATATTTCCACCTATGTCCCCCATGCTCGTGTGCAGCCTATAACTCTCCTTGTCTACCCTCTCAATTATTATCTTTATTTTGGCTTTCTTTTCAGATTCTGAGAATTAACAAAAAAAAAAAAACATACTGTGCTGCTATTTTTTCTATATAGTCGAAGTCTACAGGAGCTGTAACTAAAACATTTTATACGGCAAACATCTGAATAATGGAAAATTCCATTACTTTTAATAATTTTTTAATTAACTGCTTAATCATATCTCTCAGTTCGTGATGAAGGTGGAAGACTGTGTGTGTGTGTGTGTGTGAGTGTGTGTGTGTACTCACCTAATTGTACTCACCTAATTGTGCTTGCGGGGGTTGAGCTCTGGCTCTTTGGTCCCGCCTCTCAACCGTCAATCAACTGGTGTACAGATTCCTGAGCCTATTGGGCTCTATCATATCTACATTTGAAACTGTGAATGGAGTCAGCCTCCACCACATCACTTCCTAATGCATTCCATTTGCTAACTACTCTGACACTGAAAAGTTCTTTCTAACGTCTCTGTGGCTCATTTGGGTACTCAGCTTCCACCTGTGTCCCCTTGTTCGCGTCCCACCAGTGTTGAAAAGTTCGTCCTTGTTTACCCGGTCGATTCCCCTGAGGATTTTGTAGGTTGTGATCATGTCCCCCCTTACTCTTCTGTCTTCCAGTGTCGTGAGGTGCATTTCCCGCAGCCTTTCCTCATAACTCATGCCTCTTAGTTCTGGGACTAGTCTAGTAGCATACCTTTGGACTTTTTCCAGCTTCGTCTTGTGCTTGACAAGGTACGGGCTCCATGCTGGGGCCGCATACTCCAGGATTGGTCTTACATATGTGGTGTACAAGATTCTGAATGATTCCTTACACAGGTTCCTGAACGCCGTTCTGATGTTAGCCAGCCTCGCATATGCCGCAGACGTTATTCTCTTTATGTGGGCTTCAGGAGACAGGTTTGGTGTGATATCAACTCCTAGATCTTTCTCTCTGTCTGTTTCATTAAGTACTTCATCTCCTATTCTGTATCCTGTGCCTGGCCTCCTGTTTCCACTGCCTAGTTTCATTACTTTGCATTTACTCGGGTTGAACTTCAACAGCCATTTGTTGGACCATTCACTCAGTCTATCCAGGTCATCTTGTAGCCTCCTACTATCATCCTCTGTTTCAATCCTCCTCATAATTTTTGCATCGTCGGCAAACATTGAGAGGAACGAATCTATACCCTCTGGGAGATCATTTACATATACCAGAAACAGTATAGGTCCGAGGACTGACCCCTGCGGGACTCCACTTGTGACGTCTCGCCAATCTGAGACTTCACCCCTCACACAGACTCGTTGTCTCCTGTTGCTTAGGTATTCCTCTATCCACCGGAGTACCTTCCCTCTCACTCCAGCCTGCATCTCCAACTTTCGCACTAGCCTCTTGTGTGGCACTGTATCAAAGGCTTTCTGACAATCCAAAAATATGCAGTCTGCCCACCCTTCTCTTTCTTGCCTTATTTTTGTTGCCTGGTCGTAGAATTCAAGTAACCCTGTGAGGCAGGACCTGCCATCCCTGAACCCATGTTGATGCTGTGTTACAAAGTTCCTTCGCTCCAGATGCTCCACTAGTTTTTTTTTCGCACAATCTTCTCCATCAGCTTGCATGGTATGCAGGTTAGGGACACTGGCCTGTAGTTCAGTGCCTCCTGTCTATCCCCTTTCTTGTATATCGGGACTACGTTAGCTGCTTTCCAAATATCTGGCAGTTCCCCTGTTGCCAGTGATTTGTTATACACTATGGAGAGTGGTAGGCTCAGTTCTCTTGCTCCTTCCTTTAGAACCCAAGGGGAGATTCCATCTGGGCCTATAGCCTTCGTCACGTCCAACTCTAGTAAACACTTCCTTACTTCCCCACTGGTAATCTCAAACTCTTCCAGTGGTTCCTGGTTAGCTATTCCCTCACTTACCTCTGGAATTTCTCCTTGTTCTAAGGTGAAGACCTCCTGGAATTTCTTATTCAATTCCTCACACACTTCCTTGTCATTTGTAGTGAATCCTTCCGCCCCTATCCTTAATCTCATAACCTGTTCCTTTACTGTTGTTTTTCTCCTAATGTGGCTATGCAACAATTTAGGCTGAGTCTTTGCCTTGCTTGCGATGTCATTTTCGTATTGTCTTTCTGCCTCTCTTCTCATCCTGACATATTCATATGTCATATATGTGTGTGTGTGTGTGTGTGTGTGAGTGTGTGTGTGTGTGTGTGTGGGTGTGTGTGTGTGTGTGTGTGTGTGTGTGTGGTGCAGGACCTTGTACAGGATTGACATGCCATTGTTTTACACGGGTCTCTTCCCTACCCCCCCCCCCCTTCCCTACCCTCCATATCTGGCCCTCTGACGTCATCATCCCGACCCCAGATCCAGGATAACACCCCCTCCCCCCCTCCCCTCTATCCTTCCCCTCCCCCTCATACATTGTTCACCTGTCGTCCCCTCGTCCCCCACTTGCCTCTCCACTATCCTCTTTTATTGTGTTTTTACTGGTGATTGTTGTGTGACGAGTGCTCACCTAGATGTGCTTGTTGGGTCGGCCGTCAGCGCCTGTGCCCCGCCGTAGAAGCTATCTTGAGGTTATCTTGAGTTGATTTCGGAGTTTTAGTGTCCCCGCGGCCCGATCCTCGACCAGGCCTCCACCCCCAGGAAGCAGCCCGTGACAGCTGACTAACTCCCAGGTACCTATTTACTGCTAGGTAACAGCTATACTTACTGTTTGACACAATGTCTACTGTTTCACTGGTCTTATCTATCTGCATGTTAACTCGTCCACTAAATAAGTTCTTTCTTTCATCTCAGTGTCTTTAGTTTTCATATGCCTCACTGTCTTATTCCTCCCTGTGAACACTAATTCTTTACCCATGTAGCCAATTTCTATTAGAATCTTGTATGTCGTTATCATGTCTCCATTTCCATTATGATCTGGTAATTCTTGGGGAATACTACATCACATATTATTCCGCCATTGGTATTATATTGCTTCGTCAATATTATCCTGCAACTCCATCCCCTTGTTTATGATGCTAACTGCAAGTGTGTGCTGGATCTTGAGGGTAGTTCCTGAATTTACCTGGTTTATCTGAGGGCCACTAGCTATAGTGGCCTCGACGGGGCATGAAGCCGGGGATTCGTCAAAGGTTCGTCGAAGTCGACGAACCCCTCACTGTCGAAGTCTTCACCCCTCTGTCGAAGTCATCGTCCCACTGTCGAAGTCTTCACCCCTCTGTCGAAGTCTTCACCCCTCTGTCGAAGTCATCGTCCCACTGTCGAAGTCTTCACCCCTCTGTCGAAGTCTTCACCCCTCTGTCGAAGTCTTCACCCCTCTGTCGAAGTCATCGTCCCACTGTCGAAGTCTTCACCCCTCTGTCGAAGTCATCGTCGATATAGAGCAAGCACACGATACGACCTCAGGCAGGTTATACTCCTACAACTATGCGACCTGGCGGTATACTCCTACAACTATGCGACCTGGCGGTATACTCCTACAAGTATGCGACCTGGCGGTATACTCCTACAACTATGCGACCTGGCGGTATACTCCTACAACTATGCGACCTGGCGGTATACTCCTACAACTATGCGACCTGGCGGTATACTCCTACAACTATGCGACCTGGCGGTATACTCCTACAACTATACAATATAGATCTTAGGAGGTCGTGTAATAACCTTTATTACCAGGTCTCTACACCTAAGATATACACAGGTCAGAACGGGAAATAAGTTAATCAGCCGAGACTCTCCAGCGGGAGAGGGTCCCTCGAGGACTTATATATTGTATAGTCAGCTTCCTCGCTCCCAGAAACGGTGTTACAACTGTCATAGACGGATGAGTCAACAGCTGTCATAGACAGAGGAGTCAGCAGTTGTCATAGACGGAGGGGTCAGCAGCTGTCATAGACAGAGGGGTCAGCAGTTGTCATAGACGGAGGAGTCAACAGCTGTCATAGACGGAGGAGTCAGCAGTTGTCATAGACGGAGGGGTCAACAGCTGTCATAGACGGAGGGGTCAGCAGTTGTCATAGACGGAGGAGTCAGCAGTTGTCATAGACGGAGGGGTCAGCAGTTGTCATAGACGGAGGAGTCAGCAGTTGTCATAGACGGAGGGACCAACAGCTGTCATAGACGGAGGGGTCAGCAGTTGTCATAGACGGAGGAGTCAGCAGTTGTCTTAGACGGAGGGGTCAACAGCTGTCATAGACAGAGGAGTCAGCAGTTGTCATAGACGGAGGGGTCAACAGCTGTCATAGACGGAGGGGTCAGCAGTTGTCATAGACGGAGGAGTCAGCAGTTGTCATAGACGGAGGGGTCAACAGCTGTCATAGACGGAGGGGTCAGCAGTTGTCATAGACGGAGGAGTCAGCAGTTGTCATAGACGGAGGGACCAACAGCTGTCATAGACGGAGGGGTCAGCAGTTGTCATAGACGGAGGAGTCAGCAGTTGTCTTAGACGGAGGGGTCAGCAGCTGTCATAGACAGAGGGGTCAGCAGTTGTCATAGACGGAGGGATCAACAGCTGTCATAGACAGAGGAGTCAGCAGTTGTCAAAGACGGAAGTGTCAACAGGTTTTAGTTAAAGACCTTGTCGTATATCTAACGCGCCCCTACATGGGACCCAAGCACCCTTGTGGCGCATACAATAGGCTTTATCTTCTCCCCACACCCACAACAGCGGTGGTGGCTAAAATTTCCCAGGCAGAGGGGGAGTCCTCTGATTATGTCGACAATTTGATTATGTCGACCCTTTATTATGTTATCTCTTGCAAAGAAGGCTCTAAGCATGTCTGTGCACCATCGAGGGGTCCCGTCTGTGTACTTGGGGGTTGCCGCATTTTCCCGCCCTGTGCTGGATCGGGAGATATGGCACTGAATTATCCCAAAGGATTTTCTGGGTCTCTCCTAAACTGTCGACTTCACCGTCGCATCTGCTGGTCTACTGACCCATCTGTGAAGTATGTGAAGCTGTCAGATACCAAGTTTGCTTCTATATTCATCTGTGCAATGTTGCGTAGCAGTTGGGGATTAGTCTGATTCTTTTTTTCCTTCAGGAGACACAATGTTAAAAGTGCGGTGAGAGGGATTCCCAAGGGACTTGCATAACGAAGTCTGCATGTATTTCGTCGATATCCCCCTCTCAATGATTGTATTTGTGTTCTCGAATATATTGAGTGTTTATTGCAATGTACCTGTACCTTACCCATGACCACCTTCCTCCAACACTTGTGGTGCGGCCATACCTGTCGCCCATCCAATTACTGCATGCCTCTTACTTTCTCTGTCCCCCCTCTCCTCTGCATCTCACTTTCTCTCGCTCTCCCCACCTCTCTCTGCCACCCGCCTCTCACACTATGCTGTGTGTGTGCCGCCAGAGTGCGGTGGGAGCTGGTGGACGAGTCTGGCAACTACGACAGCTGGAGGTACGGGGTCATCACCTACGAGACGATGCTGGGGGGGTCGGTGCTGGGGCTGAACGAGAACCACGGAGAGGTGCTGGTGGAGCCCCTGGCCGCCCCTGACCACTACTACCAACAGGAGGTCTACACCACCAACAGCCTCTACGGCCTCATCACTGGTCAGTCTACCAATCACAAACTTTATTTCTGAATGGTTGGACAATTATAATTGAATTAGTTTACAAAATTTAAAGCACATTATTCATTTACTTACACCAGAAAAGACTAATTGTACCTATATATATAGTCATAATTATACAATTTATATATATAATAAAAAGGGCAATGTTAATTATGATATGATATTGAATAAATGAAAACAATAATCCAAGAAATTAGTGCTTTAATCTCTATAGAATACTCTAGTTCAACCTTTATTGAAGGTAAATTTCTTTTAAAATGGATTACTTAAACTGCAGTTGAGCTCAGAATTGATTAGCTTGATAATCCTATTAAAAACACATAAAATACTTATGGGGATTGACAGAGTGGAAAATGAAGAAATCTTCATAATGAACACCAATAGAACAAGACGGTGTGGATGGAAGATTGAGAGAAAAAAAAACAGACGAGCCTTAAATGTAGGAGGAAAATTGCATAAACTAATTAAGCAGATTGTGGAAGTGAACTCCATTTATAATTTCAAAAGCGTATATGATACAAAAAACATTTTTTTGTATCATAACAAATTATCTAACCTAATTAGGTTAGATAAAAAAGTCATTGTATTTGACAAGTGAAAACCTTGACGGGAATTCGAGCCCAGCGTTCTCAGATTGCTGCTGCTTAACTAGCCCTCTCGACTAATTGGTCGCGTTTTTAATACGTTAATGTAACTAACGTTACAAAATACAACCTATTACGAAAGTAATAGCTCATAAATATTCACGTTTTCTATGCATCAGGCTCGATAGGTTGGGTGGGTTGATTGGTTTCGTCCGGCTAAAAGATTGGATCAAAGGCAAATCAAAAGAACGGGCTGGTTCACGACATAAGGTCAAAGAACAAGCATGACCACACCTATGACCTTACACGGAGGCTTGAGGTCTGTCTAAGACATTATATCAGCTTCTACTACCTCATGTACATCTGGTCACTCGGTAAGCTAAAATTGTTCTACCTCAGTTACCCTGTGAATCAACAGGTGACGATGTCCGCAGCCTAATAGTTAACATCCTTGTAACTCATGTTTGTCGACCACAAGGATATACATCGAGAGGTGTATTCCTCGTTTAGATGTATAGACACTGAAAGGTTAGGTTAGGTTAGTTCTGACTGTTCAAAACTAAAGTATACTTACGAGTTGGTTAGGTTAGGTTAGGTTAGGTTAGGTTAGGTTAGTTCTGACTGTTCAAAACTAAAGTATACTTGCGGGTTGGTTAGTAAACTATTATGGTGGCCGTAATAACCTTCCAGAAGCTGATAGGCCTAAACGCAGCACCAAACCATTTTTGGCTACGGGCAACCTTTATAATAATAGTAACAATGACAATAATTAACAATAATAATTGTTATTATATTGGCTTATTAGTATTGTTAATTTCTTTTAGTAAAATTATAGCACTTGACGTCTGTTAAACACCATTTTGTGTCACAGACATCCATTCACGATGTTTGAAGTGACCACGTTATGATTGGCAGCCTATTGTCAGAGCAAGATAGCTAATTGTGTGTGTTATGATAGGAGAGTCAGCACTGGCCCATCCACAGGCTATCCTCGTCCAAGCTATGGTCGTCCCAAACCCATCCTCAGGCGTGCTATCTTGCACAAAGGAACTTTATAATAATAATAATAATAATAATAATAATAATAATAATAATAATAAATAATAATAATAATAATATAAATAATAATAAAAATAACAATAAAAATAATAATTTATCAATGTTAAAGTATATACATATGATACAATGGAAAATTCACATGCAAGAAATGTACATTATATACATAGCCACTAATACGCAGAGCGGGATTTTGTAAACTGTGAAAGACACGGTCCAGACTCCGGAATATGGATATTCTGCGTCGAATATTCGGCAGTGCGTCGAATATTCGGCAGTGTGTCGAATATTCGGCAGTGCGTCGAATATTCGGCAGTGTGTCGAATATTCGGCAGTGCGTCGAATATTCCTCAGTGCGTCGAATATTCGGCAGTGCGTCGAATATTCGGCAGTGTGTCGAATATTCGGCAGTGCGTCGAATATTCGGCAGTGTGTCGAATATTCGGCAGTGCGTCGAATATTCGGCAGTGCGTCGAATATTCGGCAGTGTGTCGAATATTCGGCAGTGCGTCGAATATTCGGCAGTGTGTCGAATATTCGGCAGTGTGTCGAATATTCGGCAGTGTGTCGAATATTCGGCAGTGCGTCGAATATTCGGCAGTGTCGAATATTCGGCAGTGTGTCGAATATTCGGCAGTGTGTCGAATATTCGGCAGTGTCGAATATTCGGCAGTGTGTCGAATATTCGGCAGTGCGTCGAATATTCGGCAGTGCGTCGAATATTCGACAATGTGTCGAATATTCGGCAGTGCGTCGAATATTCGGCAGTGTGTCGAATATTCGGCAGTGCGTCGAATATTCGGCAGTGCGTCGAATATTCGGCAGTGCGTCGAATATTCGGCAGTGCGTCGAATATTCGGCAGTGTGTCGAATATTCGGCAGTGCGTCGAATATTCGGCAGTGCGTCGAATATTCTGCAGTGTGTCGAATATTCGGCAGTGCGTCGAATATTCGGCAGTGCGTCGAATATTCGGCAGTGCGTCGAATATTCGGCAGTGCGTCGAATATTCGGCAGTGCGTCGAATATTCGGCAGTGTGTCGAATATTCGGCAGTGTGTCGAATATTCGGCAGTGCGTCGAATATTCGGCAGTGTGTCGAATATTCGGCAGTGCGTCGAATATTCGGCAGTGTGTCGAATATTCGGCAGTGTGTCGAATATTCGGCAGTGCGTCGAATATTCGGCAGTGTGTCGAATATTCGGCAGTGTGTCGAATATTCGGCAGTGTGTCGAATATTCGGCAGTGCGTCGAATATTCGGCAGTGTCGAATATTCGGCAGTGTGTCGAATATTCGGCAGTGTGTCGAATATTCGGCAGTGTGTCGAATATTCGGCAGTGTGTCGAATATTCGGCAGTGCGTCGAATATTCGACAGTGTGTCGAATATTCGGCAGTGCGTCGAATATTCGGCAGTGTGTCGAATATTCGGCAGTGCGTCGAATATTCGGCAGTGCGTCGAATATTCGGCAGTGCGTCGAATATTCGGCAGTGCGTCGAATATTCGGCAGTGTGTCGAATATTCGGCTTGCGTCGAATATTCGGCAGTGCGTCGAATATTCTGCAGTGTGTCGAATATTCGGCAGTGTGTCGAATATTCGGCAGTGCGTCGAATATTCTGCAGTGTGTCGAATATTCGGCAGTGTGTCGAATATTCGGCAGTGTGTCGAATATTCGGCAGTGTGTCGAATATTCGGCAGTGTCGAATATTCGGCAGTGTGTCGAATATTCGGCAGTGTGTCGAATATTCGGCAGTGCGTCGAATATTCGGCAGTGCGTCGAATATTCGGCAGTATGTCGTGTTTGATATAATTTCCCACAAAACCAAAACATCTAACATAGGCTTAATTTGACACAAAACTATAATATATACTACGTAATAATAATTTATATATATTAGAGAAAATACGTTTTTGAATAACGAGTACAAATGAATCTACGACTGTGGCTTTGGGAACGACCAGAGCTTGGACGAGCATAGTCTGAGGATGGACTAGCTGCTTTAAAGTCCACTACGGGCTCACCATAGCCCGTGCTACTTGGAACTTTTTCAACAAAACAAGAATAGCTGCGTTAGTCGATTAAGTATAATATAGTCGATTAAGGCAGTGTCTGGGATGCTCCCGGACGCAGGTTCGAATCCTCGTCACGGCCCTTGTGGATTTGTTCATTTAACAATAGCTGCGTTAGAAAGGGTACCCACAAGCCAACGCCACCACACTACTCCTCGCTACATTCTAGTCTGTGGCATCAGAGGTCAAAGGTCAGGAACAATGAAATAGTAAGCAGCGATTGATAGAGGCGAAGTTAGTTATTTATCTATTAAATTCCCTCGAGTCCCATGTTATATGACTTGCTGTGTTCTTAAGGTCAAAGGTCCATTGCAGCATCAGGAAGTATTGATAGAGGGACCCAAGTAAGGGTCATTACAACTCAACTGTGGCCTCGTTGGCTGTTCATGTTGATCATTACTTATAATAGTAGTAGTAGTACTATTATACTGTAGTTGTAGTAGTAATAGTAATAGTCAGCTTCATTAGGTATTGTAAGTGTGAAGTCTCTGCAGTGTGTAGTCGGAACCCTGTAATGTTACCAGACAAAATAGTCCGTCTTCTACTGTTGCAAGAGATAAGAACATAATAATATAACAAGCACCAGGATTATTGACCCATTTACGGGGCAGCTCTTCTTTATATCCACACACATTCATATATATATATATATATATATATATATATATATATATATATATATATATATATATATATATATATATATATATATATATATGTCTAACTTACGCTTAAAACTATCCATAGCTCCCACGTCCATTATGTCACTCGGCAATTTACGCCAAAAATCAACTATCATGTTTCCAAACCAGTATTTACCCAGGTCTTATTTTAATCTAAACTTATCCAATTTGTATACATTGTATCGTGTTCTAGTTTGTGTTTCTGTATTTAACACATTAATATTTCTTGTAATTTATTTGTATACATCAGGCATTTCACCTTTACTCTTCTAGTTTCTAGAATGTAAACTAAACCTTCTTAACCTATGTACACATTGGAGGTTTCTAATTCTTGGAATAAACTTTGTCATCTTTCTATGTACCCGTTGGAGTGAAGTTATGAGAATCCTATAGTACTGCGACTTAAAATGAAATACAGTCTAATTTCGGCCTAATAAGATCATAATAACCCTGATCGCTAACGCTTCTAAAAATATATCGTAGTATCCTATTGGCCTTATATCGTATATTTATGCAATTATTTTTGGCTTAAAATTCCTACAATAATGATTTTCTGATCTTTTTCGCATTCAGAATTCTCAATTTCAACACTATTCAGCTGATATCTGGCAAGTATCATACTTCGTAGGCCGAGAACACTCCGTTGGTCAACATTACACGGCATCTGCCAGGATTTCTTCCGTTTTAAAAGCCTGACTAGATTGTCTCGAAGCCATTTTGAGTCTTTTGAATTTATTTCCCGGCCTATTTTTGTATCGTCTGCAAATCAAAATATTACTGTTTAATCCTCTCCAAATCCTTAATATTATATATATATTATATATAACACTGGTATATATAACCGGCGGCAATATATATATATATATATATATATATATATATATATATATATATATATATATATATATATTATATATATATATATATATATATATTGTAAACAACAGAGGTCTCAGGACAGAGCCTTACAACAGTTTCCCAATCCGTCTTAGCTCCATTTATGGTAATTGTTTTCTTTGAAATAGCAATACTCTTCTCTAAATTAGAATAATACCATGAACTACTAACTTTCTAACGTGTCTTTCGTGAGGCACAGTATCGAAGGCTTGGCTAAAGTCAAGGTACACAACGTTGCAATCCTTGCCACTATCAACTGCCTCAAACATGCTGGAAAATACGAGAGAGAAAATTTGTCTAACATGAGCGGTCTTTAGAAAAACCTGTGTTGTGAAAACTTTATTAATCTCGGTGTTAGGTGATCTCCCTGGGTACCGTGATTTCCTTTCAGGCTCCATTCGGAGTTTCGATTTGCCATACAGATATTGCAGCAATCCCTTCAGAAGTCACGACCACCATGTTGCAATCCCACTAGCAATACACCCACCTCCTCTCCACCCACCATGCCTAAAACTTTTGTATTGTGATATATGCTTGGCATACATAACTGGGCGATGCCTTTATGGATTGACTGAAACCGGAAAATATCTAGTTGGGTCATTTTGAGTCACAATCGACTTGAGAATGGTCCAGGACGGACCGAAACGTCGTCGTCCCTTCACCTTCTAATGCGTGGTCTGGTCAACTTACTTTAGCCACGTTATTGTGACTCATCGCCTGCATGTAGTTGGGTCATTATTTATATTATTATTATCTTGTTTACGTTTTAATTTGTTACCTCTTGGTGCCCACAGTCAAGAACTACGGCAAGATGCACTTCCGACGGAGCACTCGAGAGGGTCGGGAAGGCACTCTGGTAGAGCAGGAAGTCTTCAGCGACTGTCCTCTCCTCTTCCACTACCTCTGCGTTATTGAGATCAACCTCGCCAGACACGAGTTCTTCAAGAATCTGGGCAACTGGTTCGCCAAGTAAAACCGGCAGCAGTAGTTAGTAGTGAACCACCGGGTGCTAACTACTAGACTACCGAGGAGTCTACGGGCTCTCTCACACTCTTGACACATACACACATACATGACAATGCAGTACAGTTCGCTTCGTTCACGACTCATACCTGGTTCATGGGGTTCTGGGAGTTCTTCTACTCCCCAAGCCCGGCCCGAGGCCAGGCTTGACTTGTGAGAGCTTGGTCCACCAGGCTGTTGCTTGGAGCGGCCCGCAGGCCCCCATACCCACCACAGCCCGGTTGGTCCGGCACTCCTTGGAGGTAATCGGGGATCCTGAGTTCAATTCCCAGCGAGACAGATATGGTTGGGCACGTTTCCTTTCACCTAATGCCTTTTTATATGTAGGAACCAAGAGGGAGAGAAACTTGAGAACACTCACCCGACACAGAGACGTCTGATCAGTGCCGCTCTGCTCCACGGGTCTCGAACCAACACATACATGGCTTGAAAGTTAACAGGCAACTTAAAGGCGTTATATATGTGTTGGGAGGACGAGACACCATGTGCGTATAACTCTCGTCCTGTAACTACACTAAGGTAGTTACACACGCAGGGGGGGGGGGGGGCGGGTGGCTGAGTGGACAGCACGCTGGACGCGTGATCCTGTGGTCCGGGGTTCGATTCCCGGCGCCGGCGAGAAACAATGGGTATAGTTTCCTTCACCCTGATGCCCCTGTTACCTAGCAGTAAATAGGTACCTGGGAGTTAGTCAGCTGTCACGGGCTGCTTCGTGTGTGTGTGTGGGGAGGTGGGGGGGGAAATAGTAGTTAGTAACAGTTGATTGACAGTTGAGAAGCGGGCCGAAAGAGCAGAGCTCAACTCCCGCAAACACAACTAGGTGAATACACACACACACACACACAAGTCCGAAGGTATGCTACTAGACTAGTCCCAGAACTAAGAGGCATGAGTTATGAGGAAAGGCTGCGGGAAATGCACCTTACGACACTGGAAGACAGAAGAGTAAGGGGGGACATGATCACAACCTACAAAATCCTCAGGAGAATCGACCGGGTAAACAAGGATGAACTATTCAACACTGGTGGGACGCGAACAAGGGGACACAGGTGGAAGCTGAGTACCCAAATGAGCCACAGAGACGTTAGAAAGAACTTTTTCAGTGTCAGAGTAGTTAGTAAATGGAATGCATTAGGAAGTGATGTGGTGGAGGCTGACTCCATACACAGTTTCAAATGTAGATATGACAGAGCCCAATAGGCTCAGGAATCTGTACACCAGTTGATTGACGGTTGAGAGGCGGGACCAAAGAGCCAGAGCTCAACCCCCGCAAGCACAATTAGGTGAGTACACACACACACACGCACACACACACACACACACACACACACACACACACACACACACACACACACACACACACACACACACACACACACACGCACACACACGCACACACACGCGCACACACACACACACACACACGCGCACACACACACACACGCGCACACACACACACACACACACACACACACACACACACACACACACACACACACACACACACACACACACACACACACACACACACACACACACGCACACACACACACACTTGTAGGGAATCATTTCTGGAATAAGGACAGTTGGCAGCATAGATCATTAAGTAAGCCATATACGCTACACAACAGCAAGTAGTCGCCCGGTGTTGCTCAGGGGCTTACCACTTCGGGAAGCTAAACCACTTAATTTGTTTTGAACTTCGATGACATTTTGTTTTTTTCTGAAGCGTAGTGGAGGATGAGAAGAGAATGTGATGTTATCGTTCAGATCATTATGGTTTATTTTATTTTAGGAACCAACTGGACTATACTTAAGCTTCAATTCATGTGTTTTACAGTTTAATATTAAGGATATCTGTTTTAGAATGGATGAACTTATTTTGTTCCGTTTTATTTGATGTATATTTTAGATAAATGAGGCTACGGGCTGAATTACTCAAGTTTTGCTCTGTTGCAGCCTAATCAAGAGAAGGATTGTAATTCTACTTTTACAATTAAACTATATAAATGTTTCTTACTGAAATAATTTCGCCACATTATTATCACAGGATTTCCGTCCGGTGCTTCGGTGCAAGCCAAACATAACAGTATCAATAAATTTGAAAATGCAGAGCATTTAAAATTTGTTTTTCAGTCTTAGACATCCATATATGCTTTGTGCAGTGGCGGCATTGTAATCAGTAAGACCTAATAGGTTTGTACTGGCAAAGCTACGTGTTGTAGGGGAGTTTTATAAGACCATAGCACCTGGGTGTAGGATATTATATGAAACAAAGTATGATAGCCTAACCCCAGCGTCGTACTAAAGTGCCCTTATCCTAGCCTACTAGAAGACCCAAAACAGAAAACTGGACAACGTGTCCATTTCGTGATCCGCTTCAATTTTCTAGTACGACAATTGTTGGCCTTAAGTAGAGTATACGTCATAATGCGACGTACTATTAGGAGGACATGTTATTCTCCCAGTGGCCTTGTTATTACACTATTTTCACTTGAACTGAAGGTAGAAGACTAGGATTGATTAGTAATTGTGCTACAGTTTATCTGCAAGCTAAGATCTGTTATTCTACATCAGTTCATCTGAAGCCTGTCCCTAAAAACTAATTTTTGGTGAGTTTTTTGTTTATTAGTCATTATTATTAACAAAGTTTAATGCTAAGTGATAATCATGGTGACAGCTCTGTTTTGGGGGGAATCGTGCCAACATAATTGCATTTTTAACTGAATTAGCCAAATCGTCAAAATGGCAGGGTTTTAGTGCAAATTAATGTGTCGTAATTGGCGCAGGAGTGTGGACTGTGATGGGGATAAATTGTTGTTTATTTATAAGAATTACATAAGAAACTTATGTAATTTTTCCTCACCAGGAAGAATTACATAAGTTTCTGAATAAATTCCACAACTTCCATCAGAAGAAATTTGATGGTCAATGTAGGAAAAGGTAAGATTATGATGTTTGAGAGAAAAGAACGAGATGATGTGGATATGGTAGATCGTTTTAAGAACATAAGAACAAGGTAACTGCAGAAGGCCTATTGGCCCATACGAGGCAGCTCCTATCTATAACCACCCAATCCCACTCATAAACATGTCCAACTCACACTTGAAACAATCGAGGGACCCCACCTCCACCACGTTATGCGGTAATTGGTTCCACAAATTTTAAAGTGGCAAAACATATAGTGATGCAACATGAGGGAAGAGGCATTAAGTTTTAAATAACTTGTGAACAATATTTGATTAAAATGGATGTACGGAAAGTGAAATAAGAGAAAGTAATAAGTTGGAGAAGATTGATAGATGTGATCAGTACAATGAAAGAAAGGAATTGTATTATGGAAATTTAGACATGACAGAGAAAGCTCTGGTATATGGAAAGGGCACAGTGCTCAAGCAGTGAAAATGATTATAACAATCAGTAAGTACAGGCGAGATGTGGAATCAATATCAATTACAGTCAATATTGACTTATTAAATACGTGCATATGTGACATACTAAACATACTAGTTTACCTTGAAAAGCTTCATAGAAAACACCAACCTTACCTAACCTTCTTAGTATGTTAAGATAAGCATCTTATTGCTTCGTAATTACAATTACTACTTAACCTATTATAGGTATAAGTTAAGCAATAATTGTAATTACGAAGCAATAAGATGCTTATCTTAACATACTAAGAAGGTCGGTGTTTTCTATGAAGCTTTTCAAGGTAAACTAGTATGTTTAGTATGTCACATATGCACGTATTTAATAAGTCAATATTGACTATACGAAAGTGCGAGAACGGGTTGGTGGACTGGGTGAGGGAATATGTGCAGTAGTGGACTGGGTGAGGAGCAATACATGAAAGTGGTATGGACATGTTACTGATGCTAACAGACTGCCTGGAAATTCGTTAGCAATCGAGAAGGGTGCACAAGAGGTAAATAAGGGGATCATGTGGTTGAGACGGAACACCAACATCTTGTAAAGGAAGACTGGAAAATATATGAAAACAAAGAGGATGAGGAAAGTGCCGTTAATGAGCTTAATTGGATGAAAGGTTTGCGTGGTGACAAAGGATTAGAATCTATTGGGGAAACATCTCTTGCGGAGCTCGCGGGAGGGTATAATAAGATGAACTTATTAAAACATATAGTATGGACCCACTTTCCCTATGATGCTCTGCCATGTGCTCCTGTTGTTTACATTTGACTATGGGGGAGTAACCAATGCTGCCTCCGTTTTAAAATACAGCATCAGCTCTGAATCATTAGATTATATCGGAAGTTAGAGCATTTATAATGCCAATTATCCCACACAATAACATTTGAGCAGTTAAGAGAATCTTTCATGTACAATTGGAGCTAAATGTTACTATATAAGGTACGATTGTTTGCGCCCATCTTTAAAATATATATTTTGTTATGAAATATGTATTTATTAATGTGTTTGCGAGTAAATGCAATGATATATAATGAAAATAAATAAACCATAGATAATAGGCAGTATATATATTAGTTTGGTGTTGGTCTGAAGTCTAAACACAGTACAGGACTAAAGTCAACTATATATATACACGGAGAAGAGAGGCTCACCTCTCGGTGTATATATATATCCCTGTGTGTATATATTTATAGACTACACTTGAAAATAGCCACGATACAGCTGTGAGTACAGTAATGGGCGGGTGTGTAGCAGTGTCTCCACATAAATATTATATAAAACATCCAGTATCTAAGATAATTTACACATGTTAACTATCACTGCTAAAATATATATATTGGCCATGTAAACATTGAGTATAATACCAGCGTGTATTCTGAGTCAGGCGGCGCACGACGGTAGTGTGGCGTGGACAATATGAGTATCGGATCCCTTTGTGCAATTTGCTTTGTTCTCGACTCACAATTGGTGATCACCCGCTCGATTCCCAGTCAGAAATAGCTGGACACGTTTCCCTTCACCTCGTGCCTCTGTTCACTTACCAGTAAATAGATACCCCGGACCATATTTGGATAATTTGCTCCATAATACTTCATTGACGACGCTTACACAGTATTTATTAATATTAAAAAATAATGCCATCGAGATATATATTTTTTTAATATATAAAAGGAACATCAACGAGTTTTGTAAACACAGCCTAATGACGCATCAGCTCAGCAACTTAACCCGTTTTTAATTAAATATTTCCCATCAGCCATATTGAGATGCTGTGGAGAGTTTGATAGTTCTTTGGATATGATACAATTTTATCCCAATTAGTGCCAGAACCAGCGGTACGTCATCGGTACGTTACCTCGTGACGTCACCAGTAACACGCAGACCCTTGGCCCTCACACGCAACAGGTGCTCCTGTGACGTCACATGCAACACGTGGCCTCGTGACGTCACCAGTAACACGCAGACCCTTGGCCCTCACACGCAACAGGTGCTCCTGTGACGTCACATGCAACACGTGGCCTCGTGACGTCACCAGTAACACGCAGACCCTTGGCCCTCACACGCAACAGGTGCTCCTGTGACGTCACATGCAACACGTGGCCTCGTGACGTCACCAGTAACACGCAGACC